GAATAGAAATATTATAAATATATATTATATATATATATATATAGTATATCTTTGAAAATGGACATGTATATATATATATATGTATGATACGAGGGTAAACCCTATATACTCATCACTCCACCATAGATCATTTATATTTATGTATATATATATATATATATATATATGTATATATATATGTATATATATATATATATGTATGTATATATATGTATATATATATAGGTATATATATATATATATATATGTATGTATTTGTATATATATATATATATATATCTATATGTATATATATATATATATATATATATATATATATATATATATATATATCAATATATGTATATATATATATATGTATATGAATACGTATATGTATACGTTTTTTGTAATATATACGTATTTATAACATATACGTATCTGTATATGTTGATGTACATATATGTATGGGGCTTCTTTGTCACAGTGTATCATGTGCGCGCCTAAATGCATTATTGTCATCTGAGGAATGAATCTCCAGTGAAGATAAATGTACTTAGTTATATACATATAGAAATACCTGAGAGGATAGACCTACCACTTATTATTAGCCCCATTAGATATACGCATTCAATGGTTGATAGATACAACTAAGAATCTTATGTATCATGCCGACCCACGCCCAGTCCATTGACATACGCGGTCAATGTGCTGTATCGTTGCAGTTCGGTTTGTATAGCTGTTTGTACCTCCATCTTTAAGGACTTACGCGCGTGTGTACTCATATAACGTCTATACTAACGTTTGTGTCTCTAAATGTTGTCACCCTCCTACCTGGTAATAACCAATGCATGCCCTTTCAACAGCTGTTGATGACCTCCAAACACGGTCGACACGGACTGTCCGTATTGCTAGGAATTAGTCTGTTGCCTAGCAACGCCTGCATAGGCCGGCGCCCTCACTCTTCAGACACCAATCATCACAGCCATTCCAGGGAAACAACTGCACCAGAACATACTGTAAGTGCCAAACAACGCAATCAGACCCACACAGATACAAAACCACACACACCCAGTCACACGGTTATCGCCGGGAAGAGAGGCGAAGACACTCACACCCCCTCAGACACCTCAGGTAGAGGTTCAACAACAGAGACGAGTGCAGGCCAGCGCACAGCGACACACACGCACACACACATGAATGCGCACATGAACACGAACGGGGCAGAAGCCGATGATAGGACAGGCACAGGGAAAACACCCGCGGCGTTGCTGGCGGTTATTGCCACAGACAAACTAGTGTACATCCGACTACTGCCCATGGCACGCATAGTGCACACGGTGAGTGTAGCAGCAGCGCTAAAGGGCACACGCCCGCTCACGGCACCCCAAAGACTACCTCGGTCTCAGCAGGGGCCAAAGCGCCGCCGAACACCCAGTACATACAGCACCACTAGCACAACTAGTACAGTCAGTGAGACTAGTGTTAGTAGTACGGCTGGCGCTCAGGGTGTGCGTGGCTTGCAGATGCGAGCAGAGGATACCAAGGGATTCGGAGGGGCGAGTGACCCGGGAATGCAAAGCCCAGATACGAGGTCTATTTATAGCACAGACTCCGCGATGCTGGGAGGTGAGGGGGAGTTGGGTGCACGCACGCACGCACAGATGCAGACACCCGTGTATAACAATGAGTATACGAACACATCTGACCGACCACAGACACATACACACACACACACATACATACATACACAAACAGTCATGTCAGAACTCCACGGATTGGCCAGTGAAATAGCGAAGGAGCCTCTCAATGAATTGGGTGCGAGTGTGCATGCAAGTGCTATAGATGCGTGTGCAAGTGTAGCCTGGCTGTGCGCCAGCGATCCCTCACCGAAGGGTACACGGTCACACACACCCGAACAGGAACACACACCCGCACACGCGTATGCCGACAGCACTATGATAGCGTACGGGTGGGACAACAGGGCCTTTGTGGACGCGCTTGTGGGGGTGTCCATTGATGGGGAGAGGACTGGTGCACCTGCCCTGAATCTGGAAAGGAGGGCTGAATATGTACTGCCTTGTGGACTGGTCAGTGTCGTATGGCTGACCCGGGCAAGACTAGGAGTGCTGGATGTCAACGAACACCTGCATGTGTTGGAGTTGGGGCCAAGAAGGTGAGTGAGGATCTCACAATGCGGCTATATACACAATCTTACAATGCAGCTATATACGCAATCTCACAATGCGGCTATATACACAAGCGTATGCATGTGTTTTGTGTGAGAATGTATGCATATATGACTATGGCTTTGGGGTAGATGTATATATACACAAGCATAATCCTCAAACGCCGGCCTAGATATCGTTGCTGTAGTGTTGCTGTGTCTGCACGTTTTTATATTTATTTCCTATGTGCACGAGCAAGGTTACCTGCCCCTTCTGTGTCAGCACATATAGGGCCACACAAATACGAGAGATGGTGTTTTGCAACGCTTTATCGAGTATAAGATAAGATATAGTATAACATATAGTATTAAATAAATAAATTTAACGTATCGTATTAAATATGCATAACTTAGAGTATTAAATTCGTATCACATATAATATTAAATATGCATAACAAATAGAATTGAATATATACATCATATAGTATCAAATATGCATAACAGAGTTTTAAATATACAGAACAAATAGTATGAACAGCATATAGTATTAAAAATATATAACATATAGTATTAAATATGCGTAACATATAGTATTAAATATATATAACATAATATCAAATATATATAACATATAATCTAAAATATGCATAGCATATAATATTAAACATATATAACCATATAATATTAAATATGTATAACATACAATATTAAAGTTACATAACATATAATATGAAATACATATAGCACGTAGTATGTCATATACGCATGAATATACACTTGCGTATATGGATCTGAAGTGTAACACATGAGCGTGTAGATCATTCGTGGTTATTACAGTTGAGCATCGAGATCACTGCATGCGCATATAGACGAAGCGCCTGATTATTGTGTACCACATATGCCACTCTCCTTATCGAGCACTCGATTAAGGTCTGCATCGTGTCCAAGTTTGTCAAATCGTGCATTATATATATATATATATATGTGTGTGTGTGTGTGTGTGTGTGTGTTTGTGTGTGTGTATGTGTATATATATATATATACATATCTATATATATATATATATATTAA